GTACCTAGAATTGCACGACCCAGAGAAAACCTCTTATGAACATTTTGTTACATTTTCTTAGTTTTTTTGTTTTTTGAGTAGGAGACTCACTCTGTCATCCAGGCCGGAGTGCGGTGGCACGCTCCTGGCCACCACAGCCTCAACCTGCTGGGCTCCAGCGATCCTTCCGCCTCAGCCTTCCAAGTAGCTGGAACTATAGGCGCACACTGCCACACCCAGCTAATTTTTGATTTATTGTAGAGACAAGGTCTCACCAAGTTGCCCGGGTGAGTCTCGAACCCGTGAACTCAGGCAATTGACTCGCCTCGGCCTCCCAAAGTGCTGGGATTACAGGCTGAGCCACCGAACTCGGCCAGTTTTTAAAATCAAAATCAAATCATAATGCTCATTCATTTTTCACGCTGCCCTTTGTCACTTAATATGTTAGCGTATTTGCCCACTTCGGGTTCCATAGAACTTGATTTTTAATGGCTGCACAAATATTCCATTTTAGATTGTTGCCATCTTTAGCATTTAGTATTTACTCTGTGCTTACTGTGTGTCAGCTTTAGCTTTTGCTTTTGATCTGCTGAATCCCCCAAACCAGCCTGTGGTGTGTCATTTCCATTCCACCTCTGAGATGGCCTTGGGGACTCGTTCCTGGGGAGCAGAAAGGCAGAATGCACCCCCAGCAGGTGGTCCCGGGTCAGCCTCTGAGCGAGCACCTGCTGCTGGCTGCTGGACCCAGGTTCGGGGCCAGCTCCCACCAGCTCAAGGTCTCCATTGGCAGTGCTGCAGCCAGGTCTCCCTCTGACTTCTCATGTGACTGTCTAGGCCTACAGTCCCTGGATGGGAAGGACTTGAGAACGACTTCTTCCTTTTCTCCAGACTGCTGTGCGCTGAGACGCTCTGGAAATCCCCCTGTCCCGGGTACTCCACCAGACCCCACATTTTTACTCAGACTCTCAGGGTGGATTTCATAAGACTGGAAAGAATAAACCATTTTTGAGCCTGAAATCCATATGAGAAACAGAAAAATAGGAGCATCCTTTGTCGTCTGCCCCACTGGGACATGTCCAGAAGGAAGAGTCCCCCTTTCTCAGCAGTACTCAGGTGGCCTTCCTGATGATCCCAGGGACTCCTCTGTCATCTGCAGTAATTATTAAGCACCAACATTCACCACAGGCTGTGTGAGTGGGCAGTTCCTCCAAGGACCCTGAATAGGCTTTTTGAAGTGGGAAGAGTGAGAAGGAAGTGAAGGCATCAGTGTGTAAGGAAAAGTGACTCCAAAGAAACAGTGTTTGCAGTTATGGATTTTAAAGTCAGATACATGTGGTGACAAATCATTGCTTTCTGCTGACTTGCTGTGTGGTATAGGGCAAGCTTCCAGGCTTGAGACTCCATTTTCTTCGTCTGCAAAAATGCTGTGGCAGGTGGCCTTAATTGAGTGATTATGGGCTTTTCTTCCTGCCCAGGCTTGGACCATCTGGATAAATGTTATTGCTGGATAAATGTTGTTCTCTTTTCTGTTTTTCTTGTGTGTGTGTGTGTGTGTGTGTGTGTGTGTGTGTGTGTGTGTGTGTGTACCTAGCTCCTGAACAGATGTATGTACCTCCTTGGTGTTGCTGCTGTATTTTAAAACCTATCTCACGTTGCCCTGTTTTTCCTGGCGTTTCAAACTTTCCTTTTTCAAGGTTTGCAGTCAGAGAGGAAGGCCTGAGCCCAGATGACCCTGGGCCTGTGTCTTTCTTCTTCCGTATCATGAAGCAGGCCCCTGCAGAGCTGAGGCTTTCTGTGCAGACCTCAGCCAGGGAGCTGGGCCCTGAGTGACACTTCTGCAGGTTCCTTGGCTCCGTTGTTTCTGCATTTGCAGTGCCCCTTTCCAGCCTCAGACCCTCAGCCACTGCCTGTCGCCAAGTTCCTGTGGGTGTGGAAACAGTCTTCCTCCTGATTGTCATGGCAGCAGGATATTAAGAAGTATTGATCCATCTAGAGGGAAAAATGCATCACTCTGCGTAACCAGATGTGGCATCTCATAGATGTCAACACAGGCACTGGAGGTGGTGTTTCCTAGTAAGAACATTTTGCAAGGCATGCTTTTTTTTTTTTTTGAGTTGGAGTCTCACTCTGTCGCCCAGACTGGAGTGCAGTGGCCGCTCCCAGCCACCGCAGCCTCGACCCGTGGGCTCCGGCGATCCTTCCGCCTCAGCCTTCCAAGTAGCCAGAATTACAGGCGCTGCTACCACGCCCGGCTAATTTTTTGATTTATTGTAGAGATGAGGTCTCGCCTGCCCAGGCGGGTCTCGAGCCCGCGG